TTGAGAACGTGTAAGTTTCGTAATCAATTTTTGAAAAATATTTATTGAAAAAGTCACGTTCTAGAATGCCATCAGTAGGAATTGGAAATTCGTCACCTACTACTTGAAATTTATGCTTTAAGCAATCGTTCACTATTTTAAAATTTAAATTTGTAGTACCTAATGTTGTAATTGAACTGTCAGTTATTCCCGTGAGTTTACATAATTGTTCGCCTGCAATGTCTTCGTCATTTGTACAATGTTTTTTACATATTGACACATCTGCGCCAGTATCTAACAAGAATTTTAATTTTTTATTTAAAGTCTGTAGTATAATATAATTGGGTATTGATTCTCCATTATCATTTATTGTTGTCCCCGCGTAGCCTATTCTGTAGTTTCTCTGTTGGTACCGGGGTTGTACTCGTTTCCCTGTTCCCTGTTCATGACACGTATCCTATTATTTCTTGTGTCTGTTCCTCTATTATTCTGTTGTCTGCCATTATTTGACCATTGGTGGTTATTAAATCGTTGATAATTATTTGATCGCTGGTAATTATTCGATCGTTGTTGTCCAAATTCTTGGTGATTGTTATTTTGGGGTTGACTAGTTCTAAATGAACTGGTTTGTTGATTATTTCCATTTCTTTGATTCCTGTGTTGGTTGCTTCTATAATTGTTTCTATTCTGGTTAGACCGTTGATTATTTTGACATCTTGTGTTTTGATTATGTGAACGGTAGTGCATCATACTGTGTTGTTGTGGATTATCGATGCTTGATGCTAATTTAACTGCGTCAATTAATTTTGTTGGTTGTGCTGCAATTACCATGGATCTGAATGGTTCTGATAAGCCATTTTTAAAAGTGTTCAATCCAGTTTCATCATTTATGGATAATATAAGCGCTCTGCTCTGTTCTCCTCGTTCAGTTATCTGTATATCATTTAGAGTTGCTATCAGGGATTCTATTTTGGAAGCATATGAGTTTATGCTCATATTACCTTGGTATAATCTTGAAAGTTCACCTTGGATATGTGCTGTATTTTTCTTTGGTTTATATGCGTCATGTAATATTTGTTTCAACGCTATAAGTGTAGATGGGTTTACAACAGTTAAAATTCTGTTTTTAACTTTCTCAGTTATTCGGGTTGCTAGGACAAATTTAATCAAGGATTCTCTATCGACTCCTTCTTTAAGGGTGTCATGATAAAATTCTATCATGCCAAGAAAAGTAGATAGTGATTGTTGTTTACCACTGAATTGGGGTATTATTTTCGAAGCTGTCGAAATATCAAAACTAGCCATGTCTGCTTTTTGTTTGAGATATTTTTCTATATTATTTTTCAAGTTGTTGAATGCTTGTTTGTACGCTTCTAAGTCAGACTCTTTTATTAGAGGTAAATATTTTAACCAGATATTTTCTAATTCTTCCTTTGTTTTTTCTATAAATTCCCTAGAATATAACCTATTGAGGTTTTTCTTAAGTTTCTCTAATATCTGTTTAGCTTCAGTGAATTCCATATATATATTTTTATTTAAAAATTTTTTTTTTGTCTATTTGAAGTATATTTTCTTATTTCTATGCCTTTCTAGTCTTATCATTAAACACAATATAATTAGACTTACAATTATTATAGTCATTACTAAAAATGTTATATATATATTATTTTTTCTTAAAAGTATAGATACATCGGTTCTAGTGTACATCAAAAAAAAAAATTTTTTTTTTTTAAAGAGTTTTAATTAATTTGTTTACATAGTTAATCAATTTAATATGTTTTTTGTCTAAATGTCTGTTTAATCTACTACTTGTTTGGTAACTTTTACCACAAACAAAACAATTAAAGTCATTCATATTTTTAATTTTTTAAACATATATATTTTAAAAAAAAAATTTTGTATATTTAAACCATATTGTTGTTTAAGATAACATGTCTTTTAACATATTTCTTATAATGGTTGTTTATTTTTGATAATACTAAAAATAATAAGAGAATACAAATGAAATACAATATTGTTTTTGTATCAGCTACTTCGCTGCCGTTGTTGCTATTGTTGTTGTTGGTGTTGGTTATCACCTCTTCCCTCGTGGGTTGGCTGCCCATTCCTTGTTTCTCTTATTTTTCTCTTTATTAACAGCTGGTCTTCTGAAGATGTGGCAAGATTCAATTCTCTATAAAGGACTGCTATTTGTTTTCGTTTATTGTACTGTTTTCCACTCTTTTTTCTTTTTGGTTTAGTTGGTGTCTTTGGTACTGGAGTTACTCGTGGCTTCTGCTGCCTCGCTTTATACTGTTCGATTGTCAATGGTTTAGGTCCGGCTGCTTTGTCTACTGGAACATACTTCGGAGCCTCAACAGGTAAACCGTCTATCCTTTGAGGGATGTATTCCTCAATGTCATCGAATATATTTAGGAATGTTTCCCAGATTTGGGAGATATTTCTGGATTCTTCACGTAGAGACATACAAAATTGATTTATTTAAGAAAATTTAAATTGCAAAATTAAATGTTGAGAATTTAACTCCTAATCTTCCCTTTGATATTTTAGGCTTTGACTTCGATTAGATTCGAGTGGTCAGGATCGCCATGTAATAATTAAAATTTGTTTTCATATACAAATTTAATTATTTTTATATATATATATATATAATATATTTATCAGATTTATTTCAAGTTTATAATTTTTCTTCTTTTTAATTAGTAGGAAGAAATCTGCACATTATTAGGCATCCAAGAATGCAGAGACAAAAATAATTTTAAAAGCGAGATTTAATGTAAGCTGCTAGAGCTCAGTTTAAAATCTGAATTTTATTACAATTTTCCAATCTATTTATACAAAAATGTTTTACAATGATTTACAAATATTTTCCTGATAATTTTAATTGCGGCGGCACTAAAAAGGTTGACCCACGTCAATGCTTAGAAAATATTGTGACACATTCAAGTGTGTCATATCGACAAGTGCAGAATAGTAGCACAGAAAAGAAAAGTGTCAAATAGCAATTGCATACTTGCTATGACCAAATATTCTACTTGCATTGCGGTGGTTCTTCCGTGTGCGATCGCATTACATTAGTTAATATAAAATAATTTGTGCATAAGCACTTTCAAAAATACATGACATAATTTATTATTTGTTTTTGTTTACATTTACATTGTTGCGCTATACACAACAGTTGTACGTTTTGTCACTTTTTAGCACAAAAACGTGTACCGAACAGTTTATACCAAATTGAGTCCCACGTTGTACGTTTTGTCACTTTTTAGCACAAAAACGTGTACCGGCTGCGCCAATTTTGTTGTGTCTTGCAACGACTTATTTCAATCAAATTTCTCCTTATTTACTTATTTTATTTTAAATAAAATTCTAATTGACATTCATGTAGTTTCACATATTAGATTTTATTTACTTTATTCTATTACACATTTTCCAATAGTTATTTCTTCAAAATCTTAATTGTCTTTTAACTTATTTGTTTAAGTAGTTTAAATTATTTATTCCTTGACCTTAATTTATTATATAAATTATTTCACTACATATTTTACAATAGTTATTTCTTCAAAATCTTAACTGTCTTTAACTTATTTGTTTAAGTAGTTAAATTAATTATTCTTCGACATTAACTTATTATATAAATTATTTCACTACTTATTTTACAATAGTTATTTCTTCAAAATCTTAATTGTCTTTAACTTATTTGTTTAAGTAGTTAAATTAATTATTCTTCGACATTAACTTATATAAATTATTTCACTACATATTTTACAATAGCTATTCCTTCAAAATCTTAATTGTCTTTTTAACTTATTGATTTCACAAGTTTAATTTTAATAATTTCTTCTTTAACAAAATTCAAAACCATAGCCCATACTCGTGCTGATATCAAAAGACAACTGAACTATTTGCTCTCTCAATCAAAACCACATGCCTGTTTTCACCAAATTTAGAATCTTTACCGATCCCAAATTTGGTGTAAACAACTAGCAACAATTCAATTGGCATGCAAATGTCACGCCATACAACCGTTACTACCAACTCCAGGGGCGGATTACATTATAAATTAATATATTCATATTAATTAATACAATAATATTTTATAATTAATATATTATATTCATCATTAATATAATAATTAATATAATAAAATAATACAATATTAACCAACTAATATAATAAACAAAATTAACACATTAATAATACATTAATATATCGACATTAATTTATTTCAATATTAACTCCCATTGTTTCCCAATTTACAACAATGGAGCAATTAAATGAAAATCTATTCAATGGAGATCTACCATTCTTCAAGAATTTGATGAAGGCCGTTTTCGTCGGATTGTAGTGGACCTACCTCTAAGCCACTTATCAGCACTCATAAATAACAATAAGCAAATTTATGAATTAGTCACATTTCATGCATACAACACTAGAAGCATAAGCAAAGCGACTTACACAAAAGAGTTTCGCATTACCAACGAAACTATTGCCACACGCTGTTCCAATATTTGATGATTGCTGAACACATGTGGCAATACATTCACATTGCAATGCATTCTACAAGGTCAGCAATCACTTTGATTGGCTGCCTTTATTCTTTTCCAGGTTTTGTCTGGAATGAATGGGGTCATGGGACCGCTACGAACAAGAAAATTGTATAAATACCTAAATAATTGTTCATTAAAGAAGAATATACTTATGACGGCAAACTTATGCGTTGTTGACTTATTCTCGCACCCTTCTGGTCACGTAACACTGGCCTAGGTACCAGCGGTTACAAGCCGCTTCATAACTTGTTCTTGACTGCATTAGTAGGACATGGATGCATGCTCGACTAGGCAGGGAAAAACTATTCTCATCAAACAAAAACTTACATTACGTTTTACATTATATGGCGATCCTGCAGGCTTCAATGCCAAGCGAACCAAATCTTTTGATTATACTTTAAAATCAACACAAACCTAAACGACACCATAGATGAAGCGACCTTCCACCAATTTTTTCATAAATACGAGTGAATGCTTCAAGCAACGAAAACAACACCAGAAGAGTAAGTACCAGAACAAGTGGCGCAACGCGAAGAAGTGTATCCAACATACGTACCTTAATACTCTCACTAATAAACACTAGCGCGGAGTTCACTAATTCACATTCAATTCAACAATTCCCGCTCGATCTTCAACTTGCTATTGTTTTATATCGTTTGCGTTCATCAGGCGAAAATGCGGCTATTCGTAAAGTCGCTACATCATTTGCTGTTGGAGATGAGGAAACAATTTATAAGATAACCCGAAGAGTCTTTCGCTCCATATTGGAACTGCAAACCAAATTTATAACGTGTCCAGATGTAGCTAAACGACAAGAGAAAACCTATCATGAGCTTCCACATTGCAAAGGATATATTGACAATATTGAAATAAAACTTGTCGAAGCACCAGTGGTTAACCATACATCCTATTTTTCCAAAAATAGAGTGTATTCAATAAAAGCACAAGTCGTATGTGACTATTAGCTGAAGATCCGACATGTCGCAGTTGGTCACTTTGGAAGTGCACATGATGCTCGCATGTTTCGTACAAGCGCTCTCTGCATTCAAGAAAATTCTTTATTTTCTTCAGAACAATGGTTAGCAGGCGATTCTGCTTATCCATTACTTAAAACTCTTATAACTCCGTTTCGGTCAAACTCCCAACAGCTTGACTACTCCAAACGTAAAACTTTTAACTTACGCCATAGCAGATTTCGTGTAAGGATTGAACATTGTTTTGGAGTTTTGAAGGAACGCTTCGGTAGTCTTAAGGGAGTTAAGAATCCGTATTCAGAATGATACCAGTCATAATTTTTGTTCAAATTGGTTCCTTGTTTGTTGCATATTGCACAACATTTTGCGACCTTCATGTGATGATACGGAACACGTGGATTACCTATATGACAATGACGAAGAATCTGATGAGCTTATGCAGAATGAATGATGGAGCTTCGAAGCGCAAATTTTTGTATAATTTAATGTTCGGCAATCAATAATTTACGAATACAAATATATAAAACATACATATATGTATATATATTTAATATATAATTAAGAAGTCAATTGCGACATTACTTTTTTCCACTAGGTTTATTTCAAGACAAGAATAATGTATAAAAACGTATATATATATTAATATATGTAATAATAACATAATATAAAAATAATTAGTATAATAAAAATATAACTAATTCTAATTTATTATTGTTATTTGTTATATTTTTTATCGATTTCATATTTTGCAATTCTTTCCTTTATTTCAAGCTCCAACCGTTTTGATGCCATGTCCCTATCCCTCCACTTATCTTCCGTTTCAATTTTTTTTTCTTCAATAGCAATTTTTCGCTCCTCAATTTTGCTATATGTCTCATGTTTCATTTTCTCAAAATCCAATTTTTTTTTCCTCGAATACGATTTTTTCCCTTTGTACTTCAGCTAGCTTTGCAGTGGGGGGTAATGGGGCTTTGCACAGCAGAACGCACGACTTTCGGTGCAGAGCTGGATGATGTGTTGTCTGCAGACGATTCAATAAAATAAACTTCGTCGCTTAGCTGGTGGCTGTGGCAATGTCTCCGTACATATCACAAGCGGCTGAAAATTAGACATGCGTCCAAACACTTCATTCAATAGTTCAAAATGTGAACAAATTTTCGTAAGTTTCGCTGAAATTTATGAATAGATAAATTAATTCACAAATGTATATGTATATAATATTATATTTGTGAAAACTTAATTAATGGCCACATCGTTTTAAATCAATGAACGCAACGCATGTATATAGCTTAGCCATAGATTAACATATCTCGAAATTTTACTAACCGTCAATAGTACTACTGTCCGATTCATCTACCAGTCCTGCGCCAGTTGCGGCAAGCCAGTCGTTCGCTTTTCGGTACTGCGCCTTTCGATGCCGTACCTTTCACCGTACAAGGTCCCACGTTGCATCCAACTGTTTCTTTTCCAAAAACTTTTTATATACAAATAAAAACAGGAATTAACCTCGAATTCTGCTTCCTCCTGCAGAAATTCTATTATTTGGAGCATTTCCCGCTCCGTCCACTTCTTGTGCGGCTAAACCTTTTTTTTTATTTGCTGGTGCTTCGTCTTCCATTTTTATCTGAAAATACATCACAAAAATTTTAAATAACCAAGATTTGTATAATATTTTAACAAACTTACGTTTCGCTACCAAATTCAAATTTAAAAATGAGAAACAACAAATGTCAAAACAGCTGATTTCTGCCATTTCTGTTTTGTTGCAAGCATATATACATAGGTTTTAGTATTGGAAGATTGCACGCAATTGCACGAAATTATGTGCGTGTATTTTGTTGTTGTTATTTGCATTCTCGTACAATCTGTGCTTTTCGTGCACCTTGCAATGAGTTTGCAAGAGAGTGTGAATACCCATAATATTACATCATAAATCTTTAAATTGTTTATATTTCAAAATTCAAGCAAATCGATTGAAAAAGTATCAGTTATCATACAATATAGTGACAATTTAGATTTCAACTTAATATATATTATATATTA